GATGACRTTCTAGAACAGATATTTGAGGGGGAAATGGCCATTTGGAGGTGTTCAGAAGCAAAAAGCAGCTTGGCTCAGGCCATCAAGCACTGACAGACAGTGTCAGCACATCACTGAATTACACTTTAACCCAAATAAATCACAATTCATGAGGTGGCTTTCTGTTCTGCTTCTATGGCTTGCATTATCYTTGCTCAATTCCAGCAGCATCATTCCTTCTCAACTAGTTTATGGCACACCCTGGCCAAGGAAATCTTAACAGGAAACTACAGTTATTTGGACAAAGCTAAATGTATTTATAGAGAAATAAATGTATTTCCTGTTCAAACTGGGAGCACAAAGGTATTGTGTGACAGACTATCAACAGGTCTGGAGGAAGTCCAGCTTCACCTGAGACATGAAACACATTTGAAAAGGCACCTCAAGGAAAATAGATGCTAGTGGACATGGTCTGTAAGCGTAGGAAAAAAAAAAAAAAGGAAGGTTTTTCCCCAAAAACAAACACAACCAGTAGTAAAGGAGCACATTAGTAAGAGTTCTTTAGTATTAGGATCCAAAGTATCAAGTATCAGTATTTGCCAGCTGCATGGATCTTTCCATGGACCTTTTTCTACCTCTCATCACTGGAAAGATCATCTACAAAGGTGCGCCCCTGTGCCACCAGAAAGAGGAACCTGGCACTTGGGAAAAGGCCACAACCCCAAACCAAGCAAAAGGAAGAGAACTGGGGCAAAAGGAGGAGAATCAGGCACATGAGGATTTGGAAAGGAGTTCCAGGTTCATCATGTTCACTCCTTGGGATTCCCTGAGCTGGACACAGATGCAGCACAGCCCCTTCCCTGCTTCCATCAACATTTCTCTGCTGCCCACTCCCTCTGCAGCCCACTGAGGCAACTAGAGCCTGCTTTAACATTTATAATCATTACTTCAATTTTCAAACAAATGTATGGTTYAGTCTTATTTTCCAATCTGGAAACCATTCTTAAACCTCTGAGAACAGTTGGGCGTAACTTCTGGGGGCTGTGTGTGTGTTGCATTGTTGTTTTGTTGTTTTKTTTAACAAAATAAAAGCCCAGGAATCCCAGATCCCTCTCTCCATCCCCACTCCAGGTGAGGGGCCACTGCTCAGGGACAGTCCCAGCTCAGCACTCGGGGTAGGAGTGGATGTTTGCCACTCCACAGCTCAACCACCTC